AAGGTACAGGATAGTTCTAGAAAATAGGTGGCGCCACACCAGTCACATGACCTCGATGACGCAACAGTCTATACAGCTACGGTCCAGATTCAAGTCGTCAGAAAGATTATGACCAGAAATGGCGACATGAAGTGTAACAACACATCAGGCTCCAAAATCCTTTTAATGTATAAACGTACTTAACGAAAGAAAAAATAAAGACAGAATTACTTTGAATATTCTCTTCATTTATTCATTACCGGAGATTCCTAATGTTCAGATATCCAAATTAAATGTTGATCTTTACATACAAGCTGTTAATGAAGTAAATTAAATTCTCACAATAAAGCAAGGTGAGTACTTTGTCTATTTGAGTTCAGACTTAGCAGATCACTGAAATAATGGGGAATATAGCAATCTGAGTAAACAAAATCCCGACATTATCAAGTCAGAAGAACACTAGAATAATGCAAATTCTGCAACAAAGCTACCAGAATAAAAAGACGATTTGTAAGATCTGAGGAAATCTAGCAGCTGAGTAAAAAAAAAATGCATGGCACCTTTTCAGCCTATGGTTTCAGTGGAAGTCACGTGACGCTGGTAACACGTCATGAGTTTCTAGAAGAATCATGTCTCAGCCTGGCAACTCTACTCTTTTCTACGCGCCCTCTATTTTAGTATATTAGCCGGCAAATAAAGCGGAGGAACAATTGCAGATTGGGAGATATAGAGACGGATAATCGAGTCAAGCCGTAAATAAAGGATGTATGTTTGTTTGTTTGTTTTTGAATTTCGCGCAAAGCTACACGAGGGCTATCTGCGCTTGCCGTCCCTAATTTAGCAGTGTAAGACTAGAGGGAAGGCAGCTAGTCATCACCACCCACAGCCAACTGTTGGGCTACTCTTTTACCAACGAATAGTGGGATTGACCGTTACATTATAATGCCCCCACGGCTAAAAGGGCGAGCATGTTTGGTAAGACCGGGATTCGATCCTAACCACCTGGCCACGCCGGGCCAGTAAAGGGTGTAAATCGTTGTGAATTATAGCGTGTGTTTAAGTTAAAGTGACTGTGGAAATTCTGTGTATTATAAAATTGTATCGAGAAATAATAAACTAGTTTTAATTAAGAAAGGACTTGTATCGCTAAAGTTTCATCGGAAAGAAATTATACGAGAAATTAACAAACGAACAGAGACGTAACAGTATAAATATAAAGAAATTGTTGTAAAACTATTGACCTAAGCTAAGAACTCTGGTAATAAAAGAAACTCACGTGGTCATAAAGAAAGAGTGAAATCTACAGAAATTCCACAAAAGTACTATGAAAATGAAGACTACTAAACGATATAAGGTTCCGAATTTTGTTGTAGAATACCAAGGAGATTTAAAATAAAGTATGGGTTATGCATAAGTTAAATAAATTGAGTAAGGGGATTTATTGGTTTTGTAATGCTCGAAGAGAACAATATTCTTAAGTTAATGCTGAATACTTTCCCAGTATATTATATACATTTGAAATTGTATTGGCCAATAAACTATTGTTTTAAATATATTTAAAATGATCTTCAGATGCCAGAGAATGTAGAAAAGAAATAGAGGTAAACTTCATCGCACCAAAACAAATCCTAGAAACAGAATTCTAAAGGGCATAATCATTACTAAGAGTTGATGAAGAGACAGAATCTCAGAGCACATGTCCATAGTATATTTTTTAACGAATAAGTTTTGATATAGTAACAAAAGTGTGCAGTAATCCGCTCCCCAAGAGATGCCGGAAAGTGCTTAAAGAAAGTCAAGGTGTATCTGGAAATCAGCAACCAAAGAAATAATGAGGGCCTTCCCAGATCAAAGGTTACCAAGTAATAAGCCTAAGTATTTGAACTTATCTACAAAACAAATCGGACGATTAGTGAAATCATAACCTTACACTTCACAGCAACAAAAAATAATGTCCAGTTATGTGCCCAAGGTTAGGGAAGATCCAAAGTAGCTTATAAGGAGTATTATAAAAATCAAATAATTCTGCCATGTTGCCAATAGGAAACATCACCAGTGAAGATACCACAATTATTTCTTCTTTTAAGGCTCCAGATTGCTCATCATAATACCTTAGGACTCCCTGTGCTAGAGAAGATTTGGAAGAACGTAAGCGTTGTATTTTCACAGAGGAAGTATGTTCATACAAATAGATATGGAGAAAGCATACATCTTCCTGAATCACAGAAGATACATTTTTCGAAAAAATTCATCAATCCAAATACTATCAAAGGCAACTCAACTGACGAAAAAAGAGACAGACAAAACATAATTTTTAGGAGAAATATCTTGGTTAAGGGATTCTTGAGGTTGAATTAGACAGTAAGTTGTATTTCTTCCTTTACGAAATCTTGATTGTTGTGAAAAGAAATGCCCTTAAATTCAATGGACCCGCATAAACGAGAGTTTTATTATGTATTCCATAACTTTAGAAGAACAAAATGAACAGGAAAGACGAGATAATTGAGAAGCTTTACCATGTTTAATGACTGGAACCATGTCAACATATTTCAACTCAGGAGGACAAATGCCAAATATACAGCTGTCAATATACACATACAAAGCTGTCAATATACACATATACAGCTGTCAATATACACATATACAGCTGTCGATATACACATATACAACTGTCAATATACACATATACAGCTGTCGATATACACATATAAAGCTGTCAATATACACATATACAGCTGTCAATATACACATATAAAATAAATATTTTACTCTCTCAGATAATTTGCCTTTTGAACTTATTTCAGTTGGATTTTACATTCTTTTTTGTAAGTTTTTATAATGTCCAGCATTGTAAGATATCGTATGATTTAATCTTTGTTTTGCCTATTTTCAATTTTGCATTGTAATTTTGGGATTATTCTGTTTTTATTTTTGTATTGTTTTTTTTTTTAGGATTTTCTCTGATTGACTGCAGGAGTTTGAATTATCTTTGTTACCCTTTTGCTGTTGTTGAGTGAGTGACGTGACGTCGTGCGTATCGCACGAGGAGGAAAGAATAAAGCATTCTACGACCTGAAGCTAATTTTTCAATTCAGCCAGAGTTAGCAAGTAGGGGAGGGATTTTTCATAGCCTGAATAACTATGAATTTCATCCTTCCATAATTTAGAATATCTCTTTATTCAAGTATATTAAAGTAATATTTCTGAATTTACATGTAGTTAATCATTTACTTGTTAACTGGATGCCTCAAGGTCATAAGTATTTATTAATCAAAGCAATTTAGTGGTTTCCATTGCTAAATGGTAATCC